ACATACGGCCCCCACGATGCAGAGAGGCTGTGTGTGCCCCCTCCACCACCGCTTCCCCCCCTCTTTGAAACTTTCCTTAGAAATACTAGTAGTAATAATAATAATAAATAACAATCGAGCCCACCGGGGACGGGTGGGTCCCCGGTGCTGCTGTCGGTGCGGCACCCCCGGCTCGGGGGATGGGGGGCAGGATCGGGGGTGCTCCCCCAGCCAGGAAGGACACTCCTTTCCTCGGCTGCTTCCCACGTGTGTCCCGCCCGTGCCGAGGGCTGGGGCAGCAGGAATAGGAGCTGGGGTTGGTACTCGGAAAAGAGGGGGGGGGATCTCCCCCTCCCACCCCCTCCCTGCCCCGCATCCCGGCGGGCGGCCCGGGGATGCTCCCGGGGGCACCTGCAGCCTCCTGCCAGCAAAACCGATCAGCTTTCGCGAGGTGTGTGTGAAAAAGCCCCTGCAGAGCCGATCCCAGCCGCGATAAGTGACAACAAGGCACTTTATTAGTATTTTGTATAAACTCCCGGGTGCTGGGAGATAAGCGCCCAAATTAGGGGGCGGGATGGGGCGGGGGGGGAGCGGCTGGTTAAACGGGGATCCACCGAGATGAGGCTTGAAGGGCGACGAGGGACCGGGGTGCGGTGCCCCTCTCTCTGTCCCCGTGGTGACACCTCTTCCTCCGTCCCCTCCCCCAGCAGCACCCATCCTCAGCCACCCCCGGGGCTGCCCTCGGGCTGCCGCGGAGCTGGGAGGGAGCCGGCGAGAGGGAAGGGAACTGTTTAATAGATCCTCCGAGGATTCCCCTAGAGCATTATTTAAACTTCTAATTATGATTCATGTGTGTGATAATATTAATTTAATAATCAAGGAGCTGTGCAGGAAGCATTAACCTCAATTAAGCTCATTACTACCCTAACCTGGAATCCCCAGGGCTTTTAAATCTTCTACTATGAGGACCTGACACCGCATTGATAGAGGGCGAGATCTGCTTCAGAATCTTTTTTTCTTCCTAAATCATTTTCCTTCGTGGGTAGAGTTAATTAATTCCCTGATTTTGGCTTGGGGGTGCGTGGAGGAGGATCCGGACTTTCCCGAGGAGAGCCGAGCATCCCGAGGTGACCACTCAATTCTGCCCTGCGCGGGGGGACACTCGCGGGGCACAAAATCAGGATAGGACCAAGAGCCATGTGCGAGGCTCGGGGGCTGTTCCCATGGCTGCTTGCGGCCTCAGGAGCCATAATAATAATAATAATAATAATAATAATAATAATAGTAACCCGTCTAGAGCAAGAGGAGATGAGTTTTGGACCCCGATTGCGTTTGGAAACAAAATGGGGAAGACGAGAAACCCAAGGCAGTTCCTGGTCCCCCCAGCCGGGCAGACACGGCCGCGGAAAGCCCCTCGCCGGTGGGACCCCGCCGTACCGGGGCTGCGGGCAGCGCCCAGCGCGGAGGGACGCGGAGTCTCCGCGCCTGGTGGTGCAGCCACTTGAGTGACCTTCTCGGCGTAATGAGGGGCTACTAAATTGTTTTGCCGCGGCGATAAATGCCCTTAATTACGCGAAGCTCCAGACCCCCAGGGACGAGGAGGGGGATGGCTGGAGAACAGTAAAAAAAAAAAAAACAACAAAACAGTTCGTCGATCTGGAGGTCGCTGAAATATAATTTGAATTTCGGTATTAACTAATTAAGTTAAAACCCACTCGTAGCCGTGGGAGAGAGCGGCACCTCATCCTTTGAGCCCAGCACCCCCGGACTCCCGCGGGCCACGGCTTTGGGGTCTGCCCGCGGTTGGGGAGCCGCGAAGGCACCCCGGGACCCGCAGGATGCCCGGCCTGCCTCCCTCCTGGAGTGAAGGGTGACCGGGCACCGAGGGGAGCCGGAGCAGAGCCCTCTGCGCGGTCCCACCTGCCCTTCACTGGCAGAACCAAGGCATCGGGTCCCGTCCTCAAACGCGACACCCCGGGGGCACACGGGGCTCGGGGTGGCCGAGGAGCCGGCGGCTCCCGGGAGATGCTCTGGCCACCGGTGCCTTCAGGCTCTGGAAATATCACTTTCCCGCAGGTATAATTCAGCCTAACTACAGAGATAACCATCGCTGCGGCGGGGAGGCTCGTAAAAACGCGAGGATGTTCCGTGTGATTCCCTATTTATTTCGGAGAAGGAAACGCTTCCGTGGGAGCTTTCCTCGGCAGGGCAAGGGACCCGGGCCCAAAACACCGGGACTTGGCTCTGCACGGCGCCGATGCCGCCTGTCTGAGGGTCCCCTGCCAGCCCCTCACCCCCAGCACCCTTCCGGCTGGTCCCGAAGGGCACCGTCTCCCGGGCGAGTGAGTCAGGAGAAGCTGTTGCTCGTCCATCCTGCGAGGAAAATGGAAAGAGAGGGAGACGGGACCGGTCACCCGGCCCGACTACGGGCGAGATATTACATGTCACAACTCATCTAGGGCCCCATAATCAGCGCTAACTTTCTGGTGAACAGATAACCAGAGATGGCAGATGGATGGAGATTGCACAAATGAGGCTCTAATTGACAATCAATTGTGATTAGGAGCAATAGAACATCTTTATAACACTCGCTTTAAACCGCCAACAAACAAAAGCGCCATGTGAGCTGGGGGTCCCGGTGGGATGGGGCCCGTTAGTGCCTCCTCAGCATCCCTGCGCACCCCCCTCAGCTCCTGGCGAGGGGGGGTTGTGTCTGTCGGTGCCCGGTGGCGCCTGCAAGCACATCGGGGTGAACAGGAGGTGCCTCTGTTAGGGGGTGCTCCCTAGGGATGTGGGTCCTTCTGCTCCAAACGCCCAGCGCAGACCATGGAATTTGTGCTGTTGTCGCCGCTCTGGGCTCCGCACGCCTGGGAACGGTCCATGCCCGGGCACAGGAGTCAATTAGAATTAGGTTAATTTTTTTTCTAAGACCTGCTGACCCAGGGAATAAAAAATATTCCTGCCGCCGTCACCCCCAAATAAACTGCACCCTCACTGAAAAAAAAAAAAAGGTACAAATGCAGGCGAATCCTATACAGCCGAGTCACCGGCACCTACCTAAACCACCATCTACTTTTCATAAATAATATCCCAGCGCTCTGGGCAGAAGTAATGGAAGAAAAAATATTCAAAAAAACCCAAAAAACAAACGGATGGGATCAGAGGCATGGCCGGAGGAGAAGGGAAAGAGGAGCTGTTAGCAAACAAACAAACCAACAAACCCCTGCGTGTGGGTTCGTGTGAATGTGTGCACACGCAGATTAAAACTTCGCTCTCGCTGTGTGTTCGTGGCGGCCCCGTCGGTGAGGTCAGGACAAGGGGGAGAGGTAATTACCTACACATGATCAGAGATTATACATACCATTTCAACCCAGGAGGTGATTTATAATTTAAAGATAAAGCATAATAAAGTCATAAAAGAGAAAGGACACTGTTGTGGTGTCTGATTAAAATCTAGGGGCTGGTGTATAATATATGAGCGGGGGCTGTTGTGGGCTCCGGCTCAGCGGGACTCCCCTGGGCCCAGCCCGCTGATGGACTAATCATGTCCAAGCCCTACCAAAATTACAAGCTGATTGTTTTACCCATTATTTCTCCCAACTTTTAATTTCTGCTTTCTAAAGGATCATTGCCCGCGGTAATTGCAAAGGACCTGTCCTTGTATGTGTCACCAGCCTCAAAGACAAAAAAAATCTAATTTTCCTTTTATGCTTTCTCTATTTTCCTATGCTCCCCCCCCCCTTTTTTTTTCCTGGCAGCTAATTCAAACTGAGTAGCGACTGGAGCGTCCAAAACAAGAATGAAATTGATATGATCAAAGCACACACGGCTCTACACGAAAGGGAAGGAAATTATGTAGGAAAGAAAATCAGGTTTTATAATTCGCAGGAAATTTTGTTCCGATATCTCAATTTTCCATAATTAAAACCACTTTTAGTAAGAGAGTATTTTTTTCGAAAGTGGAAGTTAGGTCTGGTTATACCTTTACTTCTGCATGGAAGGGAACAGACCTTTTCTCCCAGTTGTTCAGGATTTATTGATCGTCGTGTTTTGTCTTGTGCCGTTTAAATGTATTAATTTTCTTCCGGCACTTTCCTGGCACTTACATTTGATATTTAATTTTAATTAATTAGCTAAGAGGGAGAGAGAGAGAAGCGTGTGAGGGGGTGTGTGTCCGCAGACACAAGGTCCGCTCCAACCGCTAAACCTCCGTCCATAATTTTCTCCTTTTGTTCTAATTTAATAAACCCAGCAGGGAAGGGAAACAGGTGCTGGGGGCTGACACCTCTGAGCCCACACACACACACATCCACATAATCCCCTTTTGATCATCTAACTCCACCATTAGGGATGGAAGACCTTAAGTTCCCATTTTCTGTGTATAATATCTTCTTTATATTGATCCCGCAATTATTTAAAAGAAAGCGTCATCTCCTCCCACTTCTCCAAATAAGGCTATTTAGATGCTTTCCAGATGAGTGGAGGTGTGCTGAAACAGAGCTGACAGCCAAGTATATCACAGCCAACACCATCCTTCATTCGCTCTCTCCCTCTCTGCCCCCCTCCCCCCGGCACACACTTTCACCGTGTCTCTCCTCCAGTGATGAAGATTACAGACTATTATGGGCAAGGGATTAATTTGTAGCCAATTACAATCCAGTGCTAAATATGAATGCATAAATAAGATACAGCCTTGCCTCTGTGTGTGTGCGCGAGAGAGGAGGGGAGGGGGGGCAGGAGCGCCTGGGCAGCCTGGCGAGGATGATGAGAAGGAAGAAGGAGCTGCTGAGTGGAGGCTCTGAGCCGAGCATCACCTTGTGACTCCCTGCCTCCCCCGGAGGCTCCCGGCGGCTGGACCCAGCGCAGCCCCGGGGAGCTGAAGGCAGCGGCTCGTCCTGAGCCGGAGCGGTGCTGGGGAGGAGTTTCCAGATCAACTTCGCCGGAGGAAGGAGGGAGGGGGAGAGCAAGAGGGGAGGGTGGGGGGGGAGAAGTTGCGACCGAGAGGGGCTCTGCAAAGAGTCATGAATGTGAGCAGAGACAAGGTCGGTGACATCTCCATCCCGGCAGCGGCAGCCGCGGCGGTGACAGCCCCCGCAGCCGGCATCGGCGGGGAGCCCCGCGGCTGCCACGGGGAAGGGATGGACGGCCGCGGAGAGCAGCGGCTCTCGGCCAGCGGCGAGCTGCCGCTCTACTGCCCTACCAACCGGGACAGGCAAGGGGACAGCCAGAGCAACACCCCCGGACAAGAGGGGGCAGTGGCCGCGCTGCCCATGGTGCACAGAACCACCTCCTTCTCCGTGCTCGACATCCTGGACCCTAACAAGTTCAACAGCAAGCGGCGGCAGTGCGCGGGCTTGTACAAATCGGCGGGGACCGAGTTCACTCTGGGGGCGGAGGATAAGCCCGAGGACTCAGGGACGGAGCTGGCCGAGCAAAAGGCTCTCGCCGAAGATTTCGACGCGTGCAAGAAATCCGCAGAGCTGATCAGTAAGTAGGTCTGGGGGCTCGGAGCTCCTCCGAGCTCCCCGAGCAAAGGGCTCGCATGCTTTGACAGGTCATCCTTCCCCCGCTGGCAGCCTCGGGAGCCGGGGCGCTGGGGAAGGACAAATGCGCCCTGCACTGCTGCTGCTGCTGGACGTGGAGAGGTGGAGTTCTGTGTTAGGCTGAGGGATGGCAGGGCGGGGAGCCGGGCGCATCACCCCGGGACTGGCCGGGGCTGGTTTCCCGGAGCTCGGCACAGGCCGGGCTCCACTCCCCTCCTGTCCGAGGAGTTCAGCGGGGATACACTGGTCTATTCGCCCGGTGCATCCCCGGGGATGGCAGGATCAGCTCCAGAGGTGCCGGCCCGGCTGGGTCGGGCAGCGACCCCGCCGTCCTCCTCCTCCTCTCGGGAAGGGGCAGCGGTGGCTGCGAGCTCCGGCTCAGACGAACTTGCGAGCTGCTCCTTCGGCTTCGGTGGGCCGGAGCTCCAGCCCCGAGGCTGTGAAAACCCTCCCTCCGTACCCCCATCTCGCCTGGGTCCCCGCAGGCTTTTATGACTTTGTATCTTTCTCTCCCAGCCCTGGACCCCTCTCCTGTCCTCCCCCCGCCGCTGCCGCCCGTTGCTCTGGGCGACAGATTCAATTTTCTCTCTCCCCTTGGCTTTTTTAGGACAAATCAGACTAATTGTGACAAAATGCTGGTTATCTCTGGAAAAACAATTAAATTCCTTCGATTACATTTAAGGTAAAATGTGCTTAGCAGCGTAAAGAGGCTGGATAATGGGGAAAATCGCCCCAGAGTGGCATGTAGGACTGCCTGGATCGATATCCTATTATCGAATTGTGCATATCTCTTTCAAGCACCTTGCAAACTCTTCCCTAACATCTAAATTATAGGGTCAAAATTCGGATAATTACTCGATTAAAACCTATTACACTTATTAGGGCTCGCTATTGATCGGGAATTGCATTCGACCCAAGCTCTAGATTGCTTTTTCTTTCTGGGTCCAAATATCCCAACTTTCTCACCTCTAAACACCGAGACTCTGGGGATCGCAGAGGGTTTCCGGCAAAAGACGGTTGTTGTGAAAAATATAAATAGTTATTCCATGTCCTGAGAGGGAAGAAAAGGGGCAGTGGGCGGCAGGGGATAAACTTCTCGGCTGAGGAAAAATAATTTCTCTGTGTCTGAGGGGAAGAGAGGAGGACTCGGAGGTTTCCAACCCCGCCATAACAGGACTCTGTCAGTTAAAATTAGTCAGCAAAAGAGGTCTGGAATCTGCTCCAGACCGAGCCTTGACGCATTTTTCATCTGTAAGGCAAAAGCAGGAACGGGGCATTAATAGAATTCAAAAGACATTTTTTAAAGCACGGCGGAGCTGGGTTCGTAATTATTCCTCTAAACTCATCTGACTTTTGTCATATTAAATAGATCTGGGCGATCAGAAAGACTGACGAGGTCAGCCTATCGCTAATCTCACACTTTTATCTCCAGACAAGGAGAGAAATGCAACTCCATCCCTTCTCTCAAAATAAATACACTTGGAGGCTCCCCGCCGCGGTGCGCTTTGCCCGCTGACAAGTTCCCCCGACGCTCCGCACATGGAGCCCTTCGGCCACGTTGCCTCAATGTTATGACAACGGTCAGGAAATAGGTCGAAAATAATGAAATTTAATTATTCTCTTTCCCCATTGTAATTAATATTAGTTTAAGCGGTGGTTTAATGTAGGAGAAGTGTTCCGAAAAGTAGCTCTGGCCAGAAAAGTATCAACACCCCCGGAAAACGCAAAGGCTTTCTGGCCAAAGGAGAGTGGCAACGGCGCTCGTCACTCGCCGCTCGTAAAACTGTTTTAGTGTCAAAAATATCAGTTAAAAGTCTCTAGTAAATTCCCATTTAACATATTCCAGAAAAAAACCGGCAAATCCAGCGTCCATCTCCGCCGCCAGTTCTATTCGCGTTGCATTTTTTTTTGTCTAAAAAAATTTTGTTGAGCTACGGCAGGGGTTTCCTACAGAGAAAATTGAACCTCAGAACTGCCAGCTGCGGGTTCCCGGTCCGGTCCGTGTGTGAGTGCTGGGGCTGCGCTCAGCCCCCGGGTCTGCTCCGCAGACGTAGCTACGCGCACTTTTTATTAATTGTTGTTGCAAAAATTACACCCTGCAATTTCTAACAGGTTCTACAGGTTGCAGGACACTCGTCTGGACTCACGGGGTCGGGTTGGGAGAAAACTAACCCGGTTCCCGTCTGTGCGGCGGCGGTCGCCCGCCTATTCCATGCGCCGACCTGAACAGAAAGCTGGAAAGGGCTCCTCATAAACCCCGAGTCATTAAGGGATATTTTCCGGGTGAAAAGAACTACAGTAAACTTCTCTGCCCCTTTTTCTCCTACTAAACCATCCCTATCCGAAATCAGCGCGCTGAACAAAACACACTTTTAAAACCACCCTTAATTTTACACATGGGCATTAGAAAGTCCGATGTGGGGATAAGAACCAAATTTGAGGTGTTTTCAGGTTTTTTGAGGATTAAAACCAACTAAATTACGGGCGGGATAAAGGTGACAGACCAGCGATTCACTCCCCATTTATGTATCTCCGTTAACCAAGTTAAAGGAGTCCTTGATTAGGGGTTCTCGGAGCTGCTCCCCCGTTTCGAGTGGAGGGAAGTTTAAGAGTGTCTGAAAGCACCGGCTAAAAAACGGTACTCACAGGCCTCTGCCCCAGACCTGCCCGCGGGGCCTCCCCCATCCCCGTCCCGCGGAGAGGATTCTCCTCCCGCTCCCCCGAAGGAGCCCGGCCGGGGTGAGGAGGAGCCGGTTCTCCGGAAAACGCAATTTGCTTTTAGGCTTCATAATGACAGAACCGTCAGCAGAAGTCCAATAGCCTTAAATATCGGATAATTACCCTGTTCTCCGATGGAGACCCGTTAATTGGAGCGTAATATAAACCCAAATAAATTAAATGACCGTTAACTAGTTTGTACATTGCACAAAATGAGTTTAATTAAGTTTGTATCTGCTCTGCTAATCAATACAAGTATTTACTCCACTTTAATACTTCCATCTCGGGAAGTGACAAGAGGTCAAACCAGACGCAGGAAGGGTTAAAAATGCCAGAGCAAAAACCAGCAAATCTCCCATCGATTCGGAGATTTCCGTCACTAAAATTGTTAGAAGCGCTGTGACATCCCAGGCACGGCTGGCTCGGCCCGGGCGGGGGTTGTCCCCGGCTGCTCCTCATCCCTTCCAGCGTCCCGGGAACACCCACCCTGCTGTCTTCCCAAAGTCTTTTCCAGCCACCGGTTGTTTTGTGGGCGCGCTGGCGGCGGAGGGAAGGGGGGTTGTATCCCCTGCCCCGGGCCACATCTCGGTGCCAGCTCTTGCCGAAGGTGGGTAGCTCGGAAGGGGCAGCTCTGGCGAAGTCTTGCCGGGCTGGACAGCCCCTTTCCTGCCCCAGGGCTGCAGAGAAGGCTCGTAGGTGAAGGCCGCCCTCGGAGGCGGCTCCGAGCCACTATCCCGGCAGCTTCTGCCCGGCTCCTCGCCATGTGCCCCCAGCCCAGCCCCGGCTCCTCTCCATGTGCTTCCAGGCCATTCCCGGAGCAGGGGACCGGAGGAGCCGGGGGTCCCGGACCAGCCGCATCCCCACGGCGGGCGGAGAGCCGGGGAGGGCCGGGCACCCCTTTCCCGACAGCCGCGGGGATACGGGGCGGGTGAATCCCCAGGGTGGGGACCGGTTCCTCCTGGGGCCGGGCGGGGCCGGGGGCCGGGCAGCGATCCCTGACAGCGTCTGTCGCTTGTCCGCAGAGGACGGGGAGCTCTACAAGGCCGAGGAGTGCGACCTGGACTACAGCAGCCGGCCGAGCCGCAGCCCCGACAGCGAGCTGCCGGACGACGAGGAGCTGTGCAGCGAGGAGAGCGGCAGCACCAGCAGCAGCAGCGGCGGCAGCTCCGGCCCGGCGGCTCCCGGAGAGCCCGACCCGGGGCCGCTCCGAGCAGAGCCGGCCGAGCCGGGGGGTGTCCCGGCCCCGCCGCCCCCGCCACCGCCCCCGCCGCCACCGCCCGTCGGGGCACAGCCCGGCCCGCAGGCCAAGCCCAAGAGGAAGCGGACGGGCTCGGACTCCAAGTCGGGCAAGCCCCGTCGGGCGCGGACAGCCTTCACCTACGAGCAGCTGGTGGCGCTGGAAAACAAGTTCAAGTCCACGCGGTACCTGTCGGTGTGCGAGCGCCTCAACCTGGCGCTGTCGCTCAGCCTCACCGAGACGCAGGTGAAGATCTGGTTCCAGAACCGGCGCACCAAGTGGAAGAAACAGAACCCCGGGGCGGACACCAGCGCGCCCACGGGCGGGGGCGGCGGCGGCGGGGCGGGGGGCGCGCTGGGCGGGGGGGCGCTGCCGGGGGGGCTCAGCCCGCTCAGCCACTCGCCGCCCATGGGCGCCCCGCTCTCCATGCACGGCCCCGGCAGCTACGCCGGCCACCCGGCCGGGGGGCTGGTCTGCGCCGCACAGCTGCCCTTCCTGCCCAGCCCCGCCGTCCTCTCGCCCTTCGTCCTGGGGTCCCAGACTTACGGCGCCCCGGCTTTCTACACCCCGCACCTATAAGCCCCGACGCCCCTTCCTCATCCTCCTTACTCCCGGCCCGTTCCCGCTGTGCCCCTTCGGGACCACCCGGCCGGGCTCTGGGGGGGCCGCTCACTGCACGACCCCCCGCTCCCGAGAGGTGAAACTAAGAACCGACTGGCAGCGACACCGGGGGGAGAGAAGGGACAGCCAGGTGTTCCCACCGCCCCCCCGGCTGCCACCGACCCCGGGGGTTCAAAGGGGCGGCCCCCCCGCCCTCCGTCCTTTCTACGACCCTTTTTGTACGCGATGTGTCCGGACTGCGCTGCTGAAGGGAGGAGGAGGAAAACCTCCCTCCCCCGTGTACATACAAGTTGATGTAAATCATCGTTACCTGTATTTTTATTTTTCACCGTCCCTCGTTGCTATGTGGGTTTGATTAATTTTATTATTATTATTATTATTATTATTATTATTATTATTATACTTTGTTTTTATTCTGGTCTGGCCACACTCAAAAGACTTTGAAAAAAAGAAAATATTATGTACCCATTTGACTCTCAGGGTAAAGCAGAGAACTTATCGGTCCTGTCCCTCGACATTACCGAGGCAACGACGCTCCGCTCTCTCCCGTGACCTCACGGTGACGACGGATATTTTTTACAGACGTCACTCTCGAACGACCCCCGAGCTTGGCTGAGACCCTGCGGACCCGCGGGGCCGAGGGAATCTCGCCCGGGAAGGGGCGGCGGGGGCAGCTGCTGGGGTGCAGAGCTGTTTTTTTTACGTTAATCATTTCTGTATATTTCTGGTTGTTACAAAAAAAAAAAGTTTTAACTTTGTAATTAATGTATAAGGTGAGGGAGTAATGAGCAAGAGGTGATAAAGAAAGCACTTTGTTTGCTAAACACTTTAAACCAATCAATAAACTCTAAGGAAACGGCGCTTTCCGTGCTGGAGTCCCTGTTTTTCGGCTGAATCTTTGTAAGACAAGTTTCCTGAGGAAAACGCCTGGCTCATGGGGTGCTTGGAGGGATGTCTTGCATCTTCTTTTTTTTTGTTGTTTACTCTGAGAGCGTATTTCTTATACGCAGATAAACTTTATTCTTCTTGTAGGAGAGGAGGTATTTCCCTTCTTACTTCCCTTGTTTGTAATTTCTTAATTGGCCTTGCCGATTTGTGCAATATTAAGAACAAAAAAAAAAAAGAAAATTTATATACAGAGAGAATCCGACACCTCTGCCTTGTTTCCACTGACGAGGAGTCCAACATTTTGGATATATGTAAATTTAGTAAGTCGACTCTTTCAAATTCCACCGCTTTTAAAAATAAAGTAATCTTTCCATCGCCTTTCCGCTGATTACTTTTAAACTCGTATCGAAGTCGGACTTTTATAATCCATACTCTTTTTTTATTTTAATTTCAAAGTAAAAGTCTATAACCGCTGTGAGCACCTCGAGGTGGCTCCCGTTGGCCCAGGGACGCTGTTACCTCGTTTGCCCACTCCCTGCGTGACCCCAAAGCACATGCTGGGGAAGAGTTCTCATTTTCCACTAGTTTTTGGTGTTTGTGGGGTTTTTGGGGGGCTTTTTTTTATTTCTTTTTTTTTCTTTTTTTCCCTCGGGGGAACTTTTAAGAAACCAGCGTTTTCCGGAGCGATTTTGGGGAGCGCTGCGCATCCCCCTCCCCTGGGGACCGGCTATGGCAGCTACCCCCGCATCGCTGCCCGGCGGGCGGGGTGTGCGTGGTGCCGCGGGTTCCCGGGGTGTCCGGGCTTCACTCCTCCCTCGGCTCCTTCCCCCTGGTCCCCCCTTGACCCCTCAGCCTTGCCCCGACCTGGGATTGCGCTAGTCCTGACGCTCCGCAGCCTCATCCCGCTCCCGCACACCCGCTCCAGAATGAAATTAAACGTTTCAGCCCTCCCGTGGAAATAAATTCTTTCGCGATTGCTGATATTAGAGGCAAGGGGGGAGTAGAGCCGGCTCCGCGGTGCAGACCCCCGCAGGGTCGGTGGTTTCCACGGCCCGGTGGGTGCGGTGTCCATCAGTCTGCAGGAGCCGCGGGGAGGATGCGGGATGCTCCCGATACTCCCTTCCCCGCGTGTAGAAACGTACAAGCGCCAGAAGCCTCGGACTAGACTCATTTGCATTTGCGAAAATAAGAACTTTCACGATAAAGGATGTTCTGAAGTAAAATTTCAGGGGAAACCTTACAAGTGGTGTGCTCTGCACAGCTCTTGCTGGTAGGAGAAATCCAGCTAAACTGGGAAACAGATATTCAGGAGATTCTCCCACACTGCACAGCTACCCCTTTGCCTGCCAGGTTTGAGTAAGTGCTACTAACAGCCGAACTCTTAGCTCAGGTGGAGCACGACACGGCTGAACAGATAATTCAACCCCTCTCTGCACTCCGGGAGCTCCAAACAGCTCCCCCCCTCCCCAGGGGGAAATAATTCGGCTCCAACAGGAGCTGCTCAGAGCTCCGGAGTACGTGATATTCCTACTGCAGGTCTGTTAGCGTCCTGCCAGTGAAACCTGCTCATGTGAGTATTATTACTCACAGCTGCTGGATGAAGGAGTCAGTTACGCTGAGATTCCCAGTCATTAAACGCGATTTAACAAGGCTTCTCACATTTTATAGCACTGCTGAAAACAGAGCCGCAGGTATCTTTCTCAGCATAGTTTAGGAAGTTATTGATAACCCTTGCTCGAGTGCCTCATCCAGGGGTCTGAGCTCATAGAATTCAAGAGCAGAACTGCAGAGCCTCAGTTCTAGTGCGTGTCCTCGCCGGCGTGCAGCCCTTGCAGAGGTGCAGGGCACGTCGTACGCTCCGGTCACAGGATACTGTCCGTTTGCAGAGGGCATTTAGAGAATTAGCACCAAAGAGCTGAAACTCAAACAGTGCCCCCTGGACCACGACTCTGCAGCTGGTTTGTGGTGCTGGATCAAGACTGTGTGGTTACAGACTTGACAGTGAGAAGTGGGATGGTATTGACACAGGGGCAGCTGTCGAGAAGCATCCCTGGTCTGAACGCTCAGCCCCCCCGTAAAGCAAAATGCTCTCACCTGCCTGAACCTCCTGACTCATCCCCCGTGTTCCTGCCCGCTGACATTCCGGCTCTCTAGGAGAATGAAACTGGGCTTGATGCAGCACCTTGAGGTTGGTCCTACCAGATAACCCCCAAAGTCCCCACAGCGACCCCCCAGCAAGGTCTAAAAGCCATTTCCCATATGGTACCTACCTGATGTACCTGCTGCACTGCACACAACGCCTGGTGCTCCTGCACAGAGCTTTTTGAAGGGCTGCAGCTTGTTTTCAGTGAGTCATCAATGAGCTACAGACACCCTGGTACAGAGTGAGTAGAATGGACTGACTGAGGGGATGATGGTTATGACACAAGCAGGAGGTGTTTGCTCTGGTTCATTCCATGAGCTAATTCTTTTTTAATTACTTTGTTATTCATTCATAAAGTTTAATGTTAGGAGACTAAGAATGCAGAACACATTCAAGAGGACATTTAACAAAGTGTTTGCCAGAGGACAAAGTCTCAGCTCAGGCAAAATGAGCAGCACATTTGGAGTCTGATTCAGTGTGTTTATGTGACATCTTTGGCACGTACCAAAGATGATCTGGGACATCAGCATATTTTTCAACTAATTCCCATGAAGTCAATGTTAAATCTAAGGGTGCAAATTTGTATTAGCGAGAAAAGATTCACATATTAATTGCATCTTACTCTTGTTCACTATATGAATGAATGAGGTTAAGAGAAAAGGAAACTGCACCTATTTTACTTCATTTATTTCAGCTAACAAGTTTCAGTTGTTCATGTCTACTCAAACAACAGCAAAATATCTTATAATCGAAATAACAGAAAAAAAAGCACATAAATACAGACGGGTACATTCCAAATGGTTGAGGGAGAACTGAAAATACTTTGAAATGTTTTGTGTCATTGATTACACTCAGCAGTCAATGATGTTACACCAAATCACTGGAAACCAGTTCTGTATTATAAACCCTCCCCAAACTCCTTGTGTTATTTCCAGTTGAGCAGGGAATGTAGGTGTAGTGAGTTACTTTTTCAAATTAATTCCTGGAGGTTTTTTGACATGCATCACAGACCTTCTGTTTCAGATTGAACTCACAGTCATATTATATGTTTCTTCTCCTGTACTACATACACAAAATGCTAAAAATAAAGCTTTGTTTGTAGCAACTTATATCCATTTCTCAAAAATACACCATGATGTCTGCTTGTAGTCTGCTATATTGCAAATATCCATTAGCTCCTCTATTACATGATAAAATAATTCTGCTCAAACACAGTTGAGTTTAAATACTCAAAAGAACATTGTCTCACAATGTCTGGTCTTCAGGTTGTGTTGTGTCTCAAAGAGTAAACAAGCCAATATGTTTGTTGTAGAGCCTTTCTTGGGAGCAAATGAAAGAAAGATTTTTTTCTGACACTGGATTTTTTTCCAGACTCTGGGAGGTAGAACAAGGCAGAGACCTGAGTGGACGCTGAGGAAGGAGGGGACAGGCAAGTAAACAGAGAGGATCCTCATCAATTTGTCTCACAAATTGGGTTTACATAAATAGTTTATTACATAAACCACATTCTTCTCTATCTGGTGCTTTTTCTTCCTCTTCTTCCCCTTCTGCCCACACGCTCATGTCACATGCTTGTGTTACACAGACATCTCAAATGGACAGAACGAGGGTTGTCACAGGGAAAATAACACTGGCAGTAAAAGCCCTTTCTCCTTTCCTGATGCTGTCTGGCAAAGATGTGACTTCATACAAGACAAGTTTGAAAACAGATTATCACAGCCTCAGAAATCTGCAGCTGCCCATTCAGGAGACATCCTGTTGATGCTGGGAATCCTGTGGATGCACCCTGTATCAATAGAGAAACACCCAGGACACAGAAAGCATGGTCAGGACCCAGAAGTCTGGGCATGCAGGGTCAGGCAATATCTGTATATGATTTTCTAATTTAATCTCATGACATGACAAGTGTCCAGCTAGCTAAAACTAG